CTCCAGAAGCAATCGGTTTGAAAACAGAATTTCAAAATATTTTATGAACCAGATTTTCAGATTCAATTAAGCACATATGGTTTCTTTTGTATTCTTTTCGTTTGACGATTATTGAATGCTTACCGAATAAAGCTAAAATATATTAGTTACCAATATTCAAAATTTGGCTTACACTAAGGTCTTTAGACAAAAATAAAACAGAAATAAAAATAAAACCATCAAAAAGCGAAACGTATAGATAAACAAGACGCGTGACGCCAAAATCCCGACATGGGAAAAAAGAAACATGAAATTATACTTTTGAAAAGAATTTTTTTTTCAAAAGTATAATTTTATTTTCCATGTACAATATTTTTCTGGGTTTGAATCCAACCCTGGCCTAATCTTGGTAACGTGAATAAACTAACTGTAAAATAAAACTTTAAAAATGCGTTTATATAATAATTTAAAAGTAACAAAATTAATATAAAGTTATTAACCGATGACACGATATCTCATGTTCCTTTTTAATCTTTGTATCGTAATTTTTGCATCCTTTTACCACGCAACTAGACATATTTATGACAGGCAAATCTGTTCTGCGCGCGCACCACTGTCGACTGATACGCGTTGGCCCTAAACTGTAATTTTAGGGCCAGCGTACTGGTCCCTTTTAATTGTTCGGTCGGCCCGGTCCTCACGCTAGTAATATATAAGCCTATATTGACCTATGTATACAGATGTGGATAATGTTTAAACACCTGTAAAACCGGAGGACAGGAACAGATTTATTTAAGAGATTGTCAAATTAGCTGTCGTCGTAAGATATCTTTCGTTTTTTTTATCGATTTCGTTTTTTTATAGTCATATCAGAGACTCATATTTGCGCCATTAACTCAGTTAATTTATGCCCACGGTAGCTAACTGTGAAGGATGATGGGGAGATTCACCGTTTAAATATCGGTTTGTATAGTTCTTTTTTCTATACAAAGTATGACTTATGGTGTTATTGGGATTTCGGATGACTAATCTTTCGGGCAAATCTTTGTTACAGAGAGCACGAAGGATTTGTGATAACAAATACCTGGCCGCCGAGCTTCAGCACGTCAAGCAGGTTCTGCACGACAACAAGCTTCGTGTCCCGTGTCTACGTCACCGTGACCGAGTGAAGCTGGCCACAGTCGAGCGTGTGCCTGCTGTTCTACCGTATGTCAGAGGTGTCACAGACAAGATTGGCTACATCTTGAAGCGTGCTTCTATTAAAACATTCCACAAGCCGTTGAAGAAGATTGGTCAGTTCTCACCATCCGTCAAGTGTCATATTCCTCTACAAGATGCAGAAGTGTACAAGCTTGATTGTGTATGTGGTCTCTCTCTAATATATAGGGCAAAAAAGAACAATTAGAACCCGCGTAAAAGAACATATAGCTGACGTAAAGCGTCAACGTTATGGGAAATCTGCAGTTTGTGATTATATCCTAGACGACCCCAACCATTAGGAGTATGTGATCATATCCTAGACGGCCCCAACCACTAGGAGCATTAACAATAATTAAAAAGCTGAAGGTACTCCGGGTTAACATTGACATCGGGACATCAGTCACTTTAGTCCCCCGTGACCACGGGTGCTTTCCAGCACCCGAAACGTCGGGAATTAAAAATAAAATAAATAAAACGCGATAAAATCCGTAAAAGAAGTTTTAATCAATGTGTAGTGTTCGCGTAAATATAAGAAATCATCAACTTAAGTCACAGCTAAGGATTGAGATCTAAGATGGTCATATGGACACCTCGTAATCTATCCGTTATTATTTATTCATTCATTGACAGTCCGTTAAAGTCCATCGCTAAACATAGCCTTTCCCATACATTTCCATTTTCATAAGAGGATATTTGCTACAGTTACCATGTTTGGCAGATCATGTACGTTTCTATGGTTATAGCAGAATTATCAGGGCTGTAAGTCATGCCCTGTAGCATTACGCAGAGCCGCTATACACACTCCATCACTTAGCGTCTTAACTTAATGGAGTCTTGGCGTCTTAAGACTCTTAAGACGCCAAGACTCCATATCTTAAGTCGCTCTGTAGGTACGTAATTGTATTTTATGCATTTGATGTGCACTGTATCAATCTCTGTTTCTTTCTTAGCATGCGAGTTTGAAACCGCATTTTTGTTAGTTATGAATTGTTGCAAGGAAGTCCCTGCTGCTTAGCTCTTGTTTCAGTTCCCTCTATCACTTCTTACGACACCCACGAAATGACACAGGGAATTGGATTCTCTAACGCCGCTTCTACACGGCGTTCCGCTATAATACTGGCTCTCAAGACCTTTCAACAGGAATACTGGACGGTGTCGAGTGAACTATTGCTACTCAGCAGGCACAGCTTGCACAAGTAAGGTACTTAAACAGTATACAGGTAACATACTTAACGAGTTCCGTTAACTGTGACCCAGACAGAAAAGAAACCCTATACCTCGATATCTGGAATCACGAACCTCTTCAACAGGAATACTGGACGGTGTGGGGTGAACTATTGCTAATCAGCAGACAGAACTTACACAGGTAAGGTGGTACTTAAACAGTACACAGGTAACATACTTAACGAGTTCCGTTGACTGTGACCCAGACAGAAAAGAAACCTTATACCTCGATATCTGGAATCGCGAACCTCTTCAACAGGAATACTGGACGGTGTGGGGTGAACTATTGCTAATCAGCAGACAGAACTTACACAGGTAAGGTGGTACTTAAACAGTACACAGGTAACATATTTAACGAGTTCCGTTGACTGTGACCCAGACAGAAAAGAAACCTCATACCTCGATATCTGGAATCGCGAACCTCTTCAACAGGAATACTGGACGGTGTGGGGTGAACTATTGCTAATCAGCAGACAGAACTTACACAGGTAGGGTGGTACTTAAACAGTACACAGGTAACATATTTAACGAGTTCCGTTGACTGTGACCCAGACAGAAAAGAAACCTTATACCTCGATATCTGGAATCGCGAACCTCTTCAACAGGAATACTGGACGGTGTGGGGTGAACTATTGCTAATCAGCAGACAGAACTTACACAGGTAAGGTGGTACTTAAACAGTACACAGGTAACATATTTAACGAGTTCCGTTGACTGTGACCCAGACAGAAAAGAAACCTCATACCTCGATATCTGGAATCGCGAACCTCTTCAACAGGAATACTGGACGGTGTCGAGTGAATTATTGCTACTCAGCAGGCACAGCTTACACAAGTAAGGTACTTAAACAGTATACAGGTAACATACTTAACGAGTTCCGTTAACTGTGACCCAGACAGAAAAGAAACCCTATACCTCGATATCTGGAATCGCGAACCTCTTCAACAGGAATACTGGACGGTGTGGGGTGAACTATTGCTAATCAGCAGACAGAACTTACACAGGTAAGGTGGTACTTAAACAGTACACAGGTAACATACTTAACGAGTTCCGTTGACTGTGACCCAGACAGAAAAGAAACCTTATACCTCGATATCTGGAATCGCGAACCTCTTCAACAGGAATACTGGACGGTGTGGGGTGAACTATTGCTAATCAGCAGACAGAACTTACACAGGTAAGGTGGTACTTAAACAGTACACAGGTAACATATTTAACGAGTTCCGTTGACTGTGACCCAGACAGAAAAGAAACCTCATACCTCGATATCTGGAATCACGAACCTCTTCAACAGGAATACTGGACGGTGTGGGGTGAACTATTGCTAATCAGCAGACAGAACTTACACAGGTAAGGTGGTACTTAAACAGTACACAGGTAACATATTTAACGAGTTCCGTTGACTGTGACCCAGACAGAAAAGAAACCTTATACCTCGATATCTGGAATCGCGAACCTCTTCAACAGGAATACTGGACGGTGTGGGGTGAACTATTGCTAATCAGCAGACAGAACTTATACAGGTAAGGTGGTACTTAAACAGTACACAGGTAACATATTTAACGAGTTCCGTTGACTGTGACCCAGACAGAAAAGAAACCTCATACCTCGATATCTGGAATCGCGAACCTCTTCAACAGGAATACTGGACGGTGTCGAGTGAATTATTGCTACTCAGCAGGCACAGCTTACACAAGTAAGGTACTTAAACAGTATACAGGTAACATACTTAACGAGTTCCGTTAACTGTGACCCAGACAGAAAAGAAACCCTATACCTCGATATCTGGAATCGCGAACCTCTTCAACAGGAATACTGGACGGTGTGGGGTGAACTATTGCTAATCAGCAGACAGAACTTACACAGGTAAGGTGGTGACTTAAACAGTACACAGGTAACATACTTAACGAGTTCCGTTGACTGTGACCCAGACAGAAAAGAAACCTTATACCTCGATATCTGGAATCGCGAACCTCTTCAACAGGAATACTGGACGGTGTGGGGTGAACTATTGCTAATCAGCAGACAGAACTTACACAGGTAAGGTGGTACTTAAACAGTACACAGGTAACATATTTAACGAGTTTCGTTGACTGTGACCCAGACAGAAAAGAAACCTCATACCTCGATATCTGGAATCGCGAACCTCTTCAACAGGAATACTGGACGGTGTGGGGTGAACTATTGCTAATCAGAAGGTAAGGTGTGGTACACAGTTAACAAGTACCGTTGATTGTGACCCAGATAGAAAAGAAGCTCTATATATACCGTAATCACTTGACGATTATTACCTGATAAATATTTTTGGATTTTATGTATATTTAACGGTTACAATAACTACGTATACACAGGTATTAAATAAAACAAAAACGTCAATTTTCACACATTTTATTTATAATACGTCGTGCCTGCGTGAGTAAGACTTTATTGTGTTATATTGCTTTAGTTGGTAATGTTAATAGACGAAAACTTAAATAATTTTATAGAAAATATTGCATTTCTACATTAAATTACAAGAGTAGATACGGCACTTACTATGGTACAAAATGTACAGGATTAATAGACTAATAGTTATAAATATTCTAATATCACTTTATTTAATGATATAACCCATGTAGTTGTGTTGCGATGGCGGCCACAAGTATCAGGCCTCTCAGGATACCTTAAAAAATTAAAAATATATTACTATAACATACGAAATAATTGCATATTAGTTTTTATACGTGGTAAAGCCACACTCGCACGGATTACTAGCGTAAAATAGCAGCTTAATACTGCTGTGTTTCGTATGGTTAGTGTAGAGATCTGGAAACCCCTTTTTACCCGAAACGATTTTTTTACATTCCATCTTAATCCTCAGGGGTGACAACGCTTTTGCTTTTTGATTCTTAATCGAGGATACTCGTAAATGTATGTGTCTATGGGCCACAGCATCCACTTACCTTCAGGTGGACTGTATGGCTGGAATTATTGTTATTATTATTAATTAATATTGTTATACAAATAAACTTGGACATTAAGTTTTAAAAACAACAAAATTCAAATAATAATTTTTCGTGTTGAACAGAAAATGTGTACATGATAAATATTTTCATTTGAAAACAGTGTCGAAAAATGGGGATGATAATATACTGAACTGCGTTCCGTTTTAAACAGTAACCAGTATAGCAAACTAAAAAGGGACGGCTTCACAATATACCGAATTGACGTCACACCTTACAGTGGTCACACCCTATTAGCGTAAAATATTTTGCCCGTTCCCCCAGGTGCATCTACAAAGAAGAATGCGACGGTCCTTGACTCTAGTAATTAATTATTTTGTGCTCTAGCTGTAGTTATGTTTGATTGTGTAACTACCTGCTACCGGAACATCAGATATATAATGTGTTTTTGTTCTGATAGAAACCAACATCCATTCAGTATTTTCTGCTGTAACGTTCTAATGATAATAACTCTGATGGCGTTAAGGTACCTGACACTCATATTATCATCATCTAGCCAAACGAATCTGACCATCCAAAAGCTTTCTCAGTGAAATTAGACTAAATGGAAACGCATACTAAGAGGCGTATTGGTGACCTTATTGGTGAGCCTCGAACACCGGCGCAAAGTAACCAGCCTTTTCGGTCTTCTACAGCATGCATTTCGGAGAGTGTGCGCAGGAATTGCATAATTTAATTCTTCCCTCTCCCTTCCACCATCGGACAACCAGACGTTACAATACAATACAATACAATATATTTAATTTGCATTCCATAATGTAGAAATTAATAATATTCAATTTTCACAATATGGACCCCGTCGGGTATAGCAAATTAGAACAGAGGAGGACGCAAAAATGTTTTATTATTCATTATAATTATTATATTATTCATTATATTTATAAAATTCCTTATTATTATACTATCATTATTCGTGTTATTCATTCATTTATTTATAGTTTTCATTATCATTATTACATTTGTCATTCAGGTATTCATATAAAGTATAATAACATTTATTGATTAGAAACACTTTTAATTGTCTTATAAAAATGTGATCATTTGTTTCGTTTTTTAATGAGTTTGGTAGTTTATTATACAGTTATTGACATTATGTAAAGGCCTGAGAAAAAGAGCTTCATTTTAGAAGTTGGTAGCAATAATCTATTTCCGTGTCTTAAACTATAAGCCGTATTTTTAGTTTCCCTTTTTACGTAGAAATTAGGGTATTTTCGCACAAATTTGCATAATTCCAATATATAAATACAAATTAAGATAAGAAGTTTAAGTTTTTTTAAAATGAGGACGACAACTTTCAGTTCTTTCTATGTTACACATAATGCCAATTAGTTTTTTCTGTAAGATGAAGTTGGTGGTTGCATCTGTACTGTTACCCCACAGGATAATACCGTACCTTAGCCACGCCTGTACATAGGCATTGTAAGTAATTAACGCGATCTGACCTCCAGTCAGTTGTCTTTTTTATTTAACTTAGGGCATATACAAAACTAGACAATTTAATACGAATTTTCTGAACGTGAGATTTCCAGTTGATGTGACTATCCAAAACTATGCCGAGAAGAGTGTGCTCATTTACTGTCTCGATTTTTGTAAGAAAAATTAATTTTTTATCGGCGTTTTTTGATAGTGATAAAAAAGCAAAATTTTTGTTTTTTTGTAGTTTATTTCCCGTTTATGCTCCATCCATTGGTCAGTATTTTCAAATATTTTATATAATATATCATTTACGTCACGACAAGGTGCTAAGATATATCGACGAGACGAGATATCGTCCGCAACCATAACACATGGGTTAAAACATAATGTTAAAAGTAAACCGGCGACGCGAGAGGGTGCACTAAAGTAAACATTAGCTCCTTAAAGTGGAAAGGGATGTGTTATGGCAAACGCTGAACGCATTTAGGTTGAGCGCTGGTTTAATACAGGCATTAAAGTCTCTGTATAGGACTCGAGTGCTTGTGTTAGAATCAACGGGGTCTACTCGGACTGGTTTGGCATCCATAAAGGTGTCAGACAGGGCTGTGTAGCTTCCCCGTGGCTGTTCAACCTATTTATGGACAGTTGTTTGAAAAATTTGAAAGTTGAAGAATGCGGGTTAAGAATGGGTGAGTTAACCATCAAGTGCCTTTTGTACGCCGATGATCAAGTCATACTTGCGTCGTCGGCGGCCGAGTTGCAAATGATGGTTACATTAATGAACAGGTCATTAAAAGAAAGGGGAATGAAAGTGAACGCAAGTAAGACGAAAGTGATGGTTTTTGAAAGAGAAGAAAGCAAAACGGTATGTGAAATAGGAATAGAAGGAGAGTTAATTGAGCAAGTGGATGAGTTCGTACATTTGGGATGTGTATTCAGCAGGGATGGGAGATATGATAAGGATATTGAACGACGAGTGAATGCAGGAAATAAAGTAAATGGGGCTCTACGCTCTATTGTGAAAAGTCAGAATGTGTCAAAAAAAGGCACGTATGGCAATTCACAATGCTGTATTATTTCCTACTTTAATATATGGTAGTGAAAGTTGGGTATGGCAGAAGAAGCACGAGAGTAGAGTAAATGCAGTAGAAATGCGTAGAAATCGCTAAGGAGTATGTTAGGGCTGAATCTGAGTGACAGGGTGAGAAACTGTGTGATAAAAGAGGAGTGTGGTTTGCAAGATGATGCAGTGACCAGGATTAAGAAAGGAATGCTTCGGTGGTTTGGTCATGTAGAAAGAATGAATACGGAAAGACTGACAAAGCAAATATATGTTGAAGAAGTGAATGGAACAGTCGGAAAGGGACGACCTAGGCGGAGGTTTGTCGACCAAATTGGCGATATACTAAAAATGGGCCAAATAGAGTACCCTTAACCGACGAGCATGTATGCGTAGGTATATGGATGTGGAAGAGGCGAGAGAGGTATATCAGTATCGTGATAAATCGAAGTCTGTAGTCTCTGCCTACCCCTCTGGGTGACAGGCGTGAGTGTTTATTTATTAAGCTATTGCATAGCTTTTAAGTCATAGCTTTTAACCTATTGCATAGCTTCTATCGCGGGCCTTGAGCGCGGGGACCGAATCCAGAAATTCCGTAACGAAAAAAAACCTCACGCTCCCCACTCCGACGGGCACGGAGGTGTGGCTTGAAGGCCGTGATTGTCTGGTCTTTTCCTATATATAAAAAAGTACTCTGTGGCAGTCTTCGACACGGTGTTTGTGTGCGTGCAACTAGACGTATTGTACGACTCTACGAAGCTCGCACGAATCGAGACGAGCTGCTCCGAAATCGGACGAATACATAAGCAGCTGTTTATGAGAAAGTATATAGGTTGTATAGGTATTTATGTACAACAGTGAATAGCTGTACTTGTAAAATTTGTGTATAAAGTGTTTTTAATATGAATGAACAAAGTGCATTTATTATTAATGAAGAAAGTCACGAAAAAATAGTGAAAGAAAATGAGTGAGTACTTTATATACATACATTTTATTATTATCACAAATGCAGTATTAATTTTGAATTGAAAATATAATACTGCTATAAAGATAACCTAAATTTTTGATATTAAAATGAGCGATATTAAAAGTAGCCCTCTTAAATTTGTTTTCTTATCGGTCACCACGCTCAAAAGTGTAACTTGAATTAATATCAAAGAAAAAGAAATACTGCATAAATAAAATAAATAAAAAATAATTATAATTGCATAAGTTGATACAAAATGCTATGCAATAGCTTTACCGCGGCAGCCCCCGAGTGCCACACGTCTTTTTTATTTTTTTATACAGAATTCGATTAAAAATAGTTTAAGACACGAAATTAGCTCAAAAGTGATCAAAATAAATTAAATATACTACGAAGAGAGTGAATCAGTGTTTGTGACTATACCAGTTGAACCTTAGTGAAATATTTATCGAATTTAAACAGTGCATAATCTTTTCCGATTTTGTTAACTAAAAGGCATTTTTACTCAGTTAAGACTATAAACAATTAAATGGTCCAAGGAGCCGTCTCAAACAAAACTATGTGCATCAGTGAACAGTGCTTTACGTATAACGACAAATACGTGTACCAACAGTTTGATTAGACCTAAGCACAAAGGTATTATTCTTCTGCTAAATACAATTAGCGCCATCTATTTTCGAGTATCTTAACTTCTTGCTCTGTTGCTGCGGTACGATCAATACAAACGTAAAGTGTAGTCAATGGGTGCGTTCGGCAGAAAAAAGCGCTAGCAAGCGCTTGTAAGCAAAATGGCGATCGTAAGCGGTAAGCGCTGTCAAATCGTAAGTAGCTATTTTCCTCCAGGACACGATGTTAGTTTTAACCGGGGAATCTAACCTAATTTAAATATATGTTTGTAAAGTATTCATATTAAAAACTTACCAATCATGAGTTTTTAATAGCATGTATATGTTTATTCATGTCATTATATTACTTAAAACTAATATTGCACAAAACAACTTATAAACTCTACTTCAAAACAAACAAATTAAATAAGCAAAATGGCGGATTGTGTCAGCGCTACTGAAGTAGCAATTGTGTCCTGGCCGAAAACTATTTTAGCGCTTATAAGCGCTTGCTAGCGCTTTTTTCTGCCAAACGCACCCTATAGCTACCTATTAGTGCCGACAAATCACTAAAGATGTCACTATTATGCATAAAGTGTAAAGATTGAATAGAAACACGACGTTATCTAGTGTCTAGTAGGCATGTCGATCTAAAATTGATTAATTGAAAAATCGATTCTTTGGAGTAAAATTAGCGATTTTTTAGATCGATTCGAAGCACCGCATCGATCCACTGAATCGATCCAAAAATCTATTAAATCGGACAGATTTATTTGATTCAAGAACTAGCTAAAATTCCCAAACTGGCTGGAGTAAGATACCACAGTGTTTTAATTATTTTGCTGCTGGGGGACGCAAAAACAACCGGTCGAACTTGGTTGATAATTTGAAAGCAATATATATTTGAATAAAATAAATGTTTATGAACGTATCCAACAATATCGAAAAATTGTCATTTCATTTTCATTTCTAAAATTCTTAAGCTCACTTTCCACTAAGGGATATAATGTAATTTAATATTACATCTCGAGATATAAATTAATATCGCTCACCGTACTTTTAAATAGAACCGTTTCCACTGAGGTGTAATATATATTACATCCCAAACTATAAATATTTTTTTGATCGACCGAGCGTAATTTTCATATTATTTTTCACCTCCTGTACTATAATATAATATAATATTATAGCTGTGAACCTGTTTGAACTGTGAACTTGTGAATTTACATTATTTATTATCAAAAATTATACATACTGTGAGCTGTAAGTACAGAGTACTTTTTAAATACCTAGATACTGTAAAAAATATTATACCGTACGTTGAAGTTTATAGAGGTTTATATGTAGTAAGGAAATAACCAGTATTGTGTTCGAGTAGCATTCATTTCAATATGATAAATAGTGTGTTATTAGATTGAAACAGATTTATCGAGAAATGTACATTGCAGTTTGCACTTTTATAAAAGTATTGTTGTTGTTTTTAGCCTAAAATGTCGAATAAAAGTGTTACGTGGAATCACTTTGTAAAAAAAGGGATCGAGTGGAGTATGTGCGAACCACTCCTAACACAAGCGTTTAAAGCTTACCAGGAGTGGTGAATGGAAATTAAAGGAATATTAGTAATGTTAATCAATAAGATTACTAATATTTTATTTTAAAAAAATATTACAGTTTAGAAGTTAAAGAAAAAAAAATCGAAAATTCTTGAAATTTCATGTTTGAAAATGTCGCGATTAATCGAAAACCGATCTTTTATCCCTCGATTTAATCGATAATCGATTCAAGTACCTTCGATTCAAATCGATTCAGAGATCGATTTTTTTAAGAGTGAATCGACATGCCTATGATGGAGATGGGGACTGATCGGGCGGCAGGAAACAAGCTTCAAGACGCCGATAGTTTAGGTAATTTTTTTTACAGTTAAAAAAATAATGATAATTTAAAAAAAATAAAAAATATAAGCCCTGCTTTATAATTAGTTCTGTTAGTATGCAAAGTTTCATGATCTAATTTAAAGTATTTTATGAATACCACCGGTTTATATTTCAGTTAGGAGGTAACTGAATTTTTTTCTATCGAGAAAATTTTACGGAATCATGTTTTCACCTAACATAGTACTTAACATTAATCCTCAAATTTACCATATATTAAGTTCAAATTTAATGCTTCAATATTTTCGGCATAACGGAGGATCTTGCTAAGCCATTTGAGGTAGTATTTTTATTATTTTCCCTTAAAAGGATTATTACATTTAGTTACTGTAAAATTAAATTTTCTTATGTTTATGACGAACTTGTAGTTTAAATTATAATATTAAATAAATCATTTGCCGTAATATTTGTATTTTATATTTCATTTCATTTGAAGGTTTCACTTCAGTCGCGTGTAACCTGCACGCATGTTTTTTTTACCATTAGGTGAGGTTTTTTGTCTTTAAAATTTTATGAGATCGCCCTGAAGGTACCTATAATCTGTTTAATAAAAAAATAATTATTATGTAATTATTTGCATCATACTTTGCAAAATATTGCCAGACACCACAAACCTTCTCGTTTTTTGAAGTCGGCTAAATAATTAATTAATGAATGGCGTATTATTACATAAAATACAGCATCGCCGCCTTGCGATATTCCTATGAGGATAAATTAGGTTGCACACTTTCTTTTGCAATTTATTTTATTTCTAATTCCAGCGGTTTCATTGATTTATTTTTCCAACGCTTGACATCAATTTCCTCAATTTCGATTTTTTGAAATCAGTCAAAATCAACCCAATTTTCGTGTTAAGCAAATTAATTGAACGCAATTAGGTTTGTGTCAAGAAAATCGGGTTGATTAATAATGAACTTTAAATTTTTCTCTTTCCATTTGAGTTTGATTCTTTAACTACAGATATAATAAAAATGTAAATTGCAGGTGTTTGTACATTATATACATTTTTGTGAAAAATAATTATGAGGGACTAAAAATAACTAATGTCATAAATACAATTTAAGAGTCTGTTTGACTGTTGCTATTTATTAAATTCATATGAAAGTATAACGACGTGTGAGAAGTGACGAGATAGAGAGATGTTAATTAAGTTTCAAACACTATGTACTGCTTAATAAACGAGTTTTTTCTACACTAACGATAACACGTTGTTTTATTCCTTTACAGAATATATTTTCGAAGTCTAATTTTATGAAAAAAGTCATAGTACAAAACTTACTCGCAGAAAATGAAGCTCGATCTTGCAGCGGAGCTCGGTACTCGTCGGTGACTTCTAAAAATTGATACATCGCTTTGAAACCCATTCCGTCTAATCGATCGTTGGATCGAAACGTCACTTTGAAGAAATTCCTATCGGACTCCACGTGAAACTCCTTCATCTGGCCGCAGTATCGGCCGAACCTGCTATCCTCGGTCATGTAGTTGGAAAACTCTACGTAGTCACTTCCCGATATGGCTTCACATCTGGAATGTTGCGTTTATAAAGTGTTAATAATATCTAATATCACAATAAATATTCGTCATGGCCATGTGTAGTGATGGTGTAAAAGAATTCACTACCCCATTTCGTTTCGTGAGAGAAATTAAAACTGAAAATGAGCATCAGCGTCTTTTTGATGACATCTTGAAATAATGAAAAATTGCGTTTGCCAAGCCAACCCTCTGTAAGTTAGCAGCCTATGTTCAGCAGTGGACTTGTGATAGGCTGTAATGAATGATGTAAATAAAATTAACAAATGAAAAGGGTTAAATAATTTACATTCTGAAGTCGGTGCTTTAATTCTAATTTAGAGTGAAAAATAGTTCGTAGTCACTAAAAATTGTTCCACTAAAATCTTCAACCCATATTCAGCTATAAGTACTTAGGTACTATTATGCTACTTATTTATACAGTTAACATGCATTAAACAAAGAACTAAAACATGCTACAGTCGAGTTGTTCAATTCCTCCTTTTGTCGAGTTGGCGCAGTCACAACAAAATAAATATGAGGATAAGGGTGAGAACTACGAATACTATTATTGAAAAAAAAATATATATAGAATGCGACGATTATTATATTTTAATGAAGGCTGACTAATAAGATGCGATGTTGTAATAAAGACACAGAATAAAAATACTAGTACTTCGTAATAAAGGCTCTAATAGCTTCGAAAATATTAAATTTTATTATATATATTATTACAGCGGCAATACAATATTGATCAATGTTTATATTTGTATTAGTTATGATATTATGAATCGCAGAATAAAAAATAACCTATAGAGACTAGTCACACAGAGCCTAATATAGACAGAGTTATACCCAACACATAGCGTAAAGTTAAGACCCTCCTATTTAAAACTGAATTCGCCTCCCATAGTTTGGGTAGATTTTATCATTTTTAGCATGCCAATTGAAGTACAAATGCTAATATTATCTACTAAAAGACAATATAAAGAATACGCAGATTTAAATTTCCTGATACCTAATACTAAATGTGCCAAAATTTGTTAAAAATACAAAGGAGCTATGCGCTGTTTTTAATAAGACTCTGCGGTTGAATAGAAAAACCTTTTTTCTCTTTATTATACATAACACTTAGCATTAGTAGTTTTCTAATTCGAATTGCACTTAGGTATGAAACAATTTGCTTTAAAACGTCGCCCACCGGATTAGTACATTCTGAATTAATGTCGTCAATAAACATTATAGATCATTAACTTACGGTAAAACTCCTTCGACCCCGAAGTTCGTAAAGTGTAAATGCACTTTCTCAGTCTGACTTCCGTGAAAGAAATACGTGCACTCTGTGTCACGTGGATAGGGTCCCGGCCAGTTGGGGGAAGCGAAAGAACCGTTCCGACTTTCGGAGCTATTGTAAACGAAAGCGCATGGGAACTCCTTCAGCTGTCTCCCCGTAGTAATACCAAAATCTGAAAAATATTTTATAGATATTTAATTGTTGGATGCACGCACATTGTAACTTATACATTTTTACAAAAGGAGGAATTATAACTTCTAACAGACAGATGGATTTGGAACCAGACCATTTGCTAAGTTTGTATAAAAAGGGTTATTATAATATTAAGGAATTTATGGATAATAATAACCCCTGATTGTAAGCTATTATTGGAAAAAAAATGGTCCCGCTGGGTTTCTTGCTGGTTATTTTGCGAACCAGTGGTAAATGAAAAAAGTGACTTTCAATAAGTATTGTTATAATCTACATTGAAGAAAAAAGTTTCTGTTTCTGGCTTGATTCGTTTTTAACCCTATACGTACGTGTGGTGCACAGACGAGCTGTGCGGCGTATCCATACATTCATGATAGCCTATACAATTCCACTGCTAAACATAGATCTTCCCTATAAAATGCCTCATAGTTTTGCCACAGTTGCCACGCTTGGCAGGCGCGTTGGCAACCGTAGTTTTATATAGGCCGTCTCCTGGTTTGTTCCTCCCTGTTGCCTCTTACGTCCGGTTTCCACCAAAGCAGAGAACAGAGGAGACGAGAGGAGATGCGAGTTCTGTCTACGAAAGGCAGACGTCATGTCGTTACGTTACGAGTATCTGAATTTGCTTGAGGAAGAGGAACTAGAGGTTGAAGAAACACAATTATTTCTTCAATTTTTAAATTATCGACGGCAACATAGATTCTGGATAAGAAACCATATAAAATGTCACAGTCATGGCGAATATGCCACACTGATTCAAGAGTTTGATGATGAAAGTTTTCAAAAATCTTACAGTGTAACACAAGGAATAATTTTTACGCCGCCCGGCCGCCAAACAAGACACTTCTCCATTCTGCCGCGCCACTTGTCCGATCGCCGCACAAAATTCTATAGAAAAATAAGACATCTGCTCTCCTCTCCGCTTGATCCATTTCCACCGAAGCTAAGCGGAGAAGAGATGTGAAAATAACGAAATCGGATTGGTTTATTCAAACACATCTCCTCTCGTCTCCACTCCTCTCTGCTTTGGTGGAAAATGGGCCCTACGACACGGCCACTACACGCTTAAAAATTAATTAAGCGTTTCAAATAATGATTAATATTTTAAATAAATAAATTATGCGTTTCAAATAATGATTAATAATATATTAAATAAATAGAGTATGCGTTTCAAATAATGATTAATAATATTTTTAATAAATAAATGATGCGTTTCAAATAATGATTAATAATATTTTAAATAAATAAATTATGCGTTTCAAATAAAATTAATAATAATTACTATTTTAAATCAGATTTTATTCGACGTTTTGAACTCCAACATTTCGGTCTGCTCATGACCAAATCCACACTTATGCTGCTCAATCCGAAGCTAACCATCGTCAGCCACGATCAAAACACTATGAAAGGAGATTGCAGGTAATATCCGCCACAGCCTGCACTTAGAAATCATTGGTAATATTGTTTTCCTCAATTACCTTTCCTCCTTTATACATGGTAGAGCTACGCTGCAGCTATATTATGATAGTAGCATGAATGGGTCGGCTCGACCAGAGAAGGACCACGCTCTCACAGAATACCAGCGTAAAGAAACAGCTTAATACTGCTGTGTTTCCTATGGTGAGTGTAGAGATTCGGAGACCCTTTTTACCATCAGGTGGACTGTGTGCTCGTTTGTCACCCTTATTCTATAAAAAAATTCTTTCATTTCTTTTTCCTCCCCTTCCCCTTTCCTGTATTCGAATCAAGGGGTTTACTTCGTCTTTCGTAATGCGTACAGCGGCAAAAAAACGTACAGCAAGTGAGTGGTATTCCACTCACTTGCTGTACGTTTTTTTCGCCGGCGTCTTACTTTTCGTCCCATTAGAATCTGGGTATCTTACAGGCTAGAGTTAATAGACTTGTGTTACGCTAATACAGTACGGTTTGTTACATAAGGCATAGGGCTTCATAAACACTTACGACCAAGTGCAATTGTAATCAAACACTGGTATATAATATGTAAGAAAAATCTTTCCTCGTTCATTAAAGAGGAAAGATTTTAAAAAATGCCATTGCATTCACTTTGTTAGTTATAGCTATAGTAACGTTTGTAATAAGAACTGATGCATCTGTTAGATGAAGATGATGATGACATTCTCCTTGATGATTCTAGCCGTGACAGTTTTTTTCCAAAATAGGGCCACATACAAAAATGTACGCATAAACAGAGAAGTAGATAAAAAAAAAAAAAAAAAAAAATAAATACTTTTTTTTTTATAGACAAAAACACCTCCTATATGTAGCTTTTCCTTATTTATTACCCGTACCCAAGGTAACGTTATTGTAAAATAAGTTTATATGGAGGATGCAGTGAGCGACATCCAGACCTAAGCAAAACACAATTTGAGCATTTTGCGCAAATATTAGTATTCGGCGACGAATCTGAGATGGATAGATGGTTCTAATGTTAGTCACGTGGTCTAATCACTATTGTCCACACAGTAGTAAAGTTTACAAAAGTATACTTATCATTCATGTGTGCGTTAATTATCTTCTTATTTTACCAAAAAACTGACGTATAAAAAACGAATGGTGTCCAATTTTCAATTATATAAATTTTAATATCAAAATGGCAGCACTTACCAACGCCATATTTATTCCACCTCGAAAACCTATAAATTTACTGACCACCAAGATAGGAAACGCCATCGGATACATATTGTACCTGCCTGTCCTGCTACCAGGCTCGGATGTATGCAATGGCTCTAAATTTTGGGTGCAGTACAAATTCGTGATTCGTGAAGGCGCTTGCCGTAAACTTCACAGTTCGCGTGCAACAAGGGTTCGATATTGTAGTAAAATAAAAGAACAATGTGATCTAAGGTGTGTGTATCATGGAAGGCCACACTAACAAATAAACAGTTATAGTAAAACTACTTTTACGGATTTTATCGCGTTTAATTTGAATTTTAATTATTTTTTATTTTTAATATGACTGAGGTGACTGACGTCCCGATGTCGTTGTTAACTCCGGGTTTAACAACTAACGAAGCTTAATAAATAGCGATTAAATCTACAATAAAAAGACGTGATTTATTTAGAAGATTGGCAACGTGATGACCGCATTAATTATTTGTGTGATCAGAAATTAATAATTAATCTCTAAGATTATTCCAGTGACTCTGATGATGATAAATGTGACTTAGGATACATAAGGATACATGTTAATAAATTTATTATTGCTATTTTTTATATTGTTTTATTAGCCTAAAATGAGTCCCAATATGTAATAAATACTTGGTTAAAATAAGTAGTGCGTATTTTTTTATTAACATTTATGAATACTTTATCGATACATCGATTTAATGTTCCCAGCACTAGTCACATCAGGATGACAGCTGTCATTCCAATTAAGCTATATTTAAGGAACTATAAATACTATTTATAATATTGTTGTATAATTGTATAAATGCCTGTAACTTCTATGACAATTTTGTAGAAATATTTTAAAAAAGGAGAATTATAATAAAAATTCAAATAGGATGCAAGAAACGAAAAAATTATTTGACGGCTCAATATCACACGTATTGCATTATTTTTGTTCTACAATTTGACATTTTCGTCTAGTCCAAAATATATGTAGATACCATTCAACAGTTATAATAATATTCATAAAATAAACTTAAAGTCTACAAAATGAATCTATAGTTTAGTAAAATATTCAAAATGAATATTGAACTTAGATAACTTGAAACACTTTTCGCAATTGCACCATGATGCTATGACACCTCGTAGTTGAGGCAAGACGCAAATTCTAAAAGCCTAAAATAGTTACTTACTTTCAACAAATGAATACGATATTTTGAATCCCCTCGAGTGTCTCGATGAATGAATCCCACGAAATTCCAGCATTAATTTGGGACCATTGGACATAACAGGTTTTGGAAGGTCAGTCCCGCAGAATGTGTCAACCTTCTCTAGTCTGCCGTCTACGTTGACGAATGCTTGCAATAAATCCACATTTGTGCAACTAGAAAAACAGAGATATCATTGATTTAAATCGTAGTTTAAAATCATATAACATTATAGATGAATGGATTTTTTTAAATAAAGTAATCATGGAGTATAGAGGTAAGGAGGACAATCACCCATAGGAGAATGTTTGAAAATGTGTCCATCCGTAAGCAGTAAATAACAGTTCAAAAACTCTCCACAACAGCGCTCGAGTAGCAACAAAAAAATAATATATAATAAAAAAAAATAAAAAAAAAACAACCCACATCCTATAACCTACTCTATACTTCTAACTATATATCCATTAATATTAGGGTATGATAAATCGCCGTAAAATACGTTGATACTGATTTTGAAAATAAAAAATTTGAAAGCAATAAAATAATTATTATAAAAAGAATTATGGTGAAAGTCTGTGCAAAAAAAATTATAAAAAGTTCTTTAAAATTTAGACTGTAGCTACAGTGACACCACCCTTTTTTAGCGCTTTCCTATGGACACTTTTTTATACAGAGTCTTTACTCCTTACTTCTACGCTCCATAAAAGTAATGTTTGATGCTATTATAAATATTATACCGTAACTATATGTGTATGTGATGTGTATGATTAGACGTCATGAATCCCGCAAAGATTGTCCTGGCGCCGGTGTTGTTCCTCTTCTCCCTAAATAATGAAACTAGAGCAAATATGTTCTTACGATACAACCCCTAATCTATCACTGTCATGTGCCTATGTGTTCATTTTTTTTATAAATTAAATTAATTAAAACAAAGAACCTTAGAATAATTACTAAAATTGCCATCTAGCAAAAGCTCGGTCATTCAGGTACAGTACGATAGCAATATATTAAAACCTATTCTTTAAATATCCCAGATATCTCATAAGTAATAGTTAAATATTTCATCGGATTCAATGTCACAAGTCATTTAATTTCAATGTCATATCTTTATCTAGAGAATGAATCTACATTGTTTCTAGCATACTAATAACCTAGTTTACCATCACGTAGTCGTTTTACAGATAGCAGTGGTCGTATATAATTATTATAATTGCTACAGCAAGTTCATAAAATTTGTAACGGATTTTTTCTTGGCAAGTGTTAAGTTGATAATGGCTTAATAATAAACTTACTCTAGTGTTCCGTCCGCTGGCTTATGTAAGTAGAAGTCATGGAAAAGCAATCTGACTCTCTCCTTCCCCCTTCCGAAAAACTCGTAGTGACAGTGAGTATTTGGTGGGTACGCCAGTGGGTAGTGAGGCGATGTAAGCGTCCCGTGTTTTGCACCGTCACTGCTGAACTCTTGGTGACACGAAGATGCTGAAACACATAAATACGATGTTCAATTTTCACGTTTCTTTAATCTGGTGACACGAAAATTCTGAAACACATCAATATGGTGTTCAATTTTCACGTTGCTTTAATCTGCAGAACTACTGCAGGTATTTTCGTTAAAAATTAATATTTTTATTGTAACGAAATCGTATCGTAATTCTCACCAAATTGGATTAGCTAATTAACACGGAACGTAATATTAATATAAAGCTACAGCTTTTATTCGTTTCATGTAGTATATGCCTCCCCTCATTTCTGAAGCAATTAGTCTGCCGTGATGCTCCAATGCGTGTTGTTGGACATCACATGCCCTCTAAATATTTTATTTCTTAGACATGCATGTTTCCTTATGAAGTTTGCCTTCATCTGCGAGCACTTATAATTGCAATCAATAATTTCATTGGTGATGACGAGATCGAGCCCGTGTGTTCGTATTGGCTAATACCACCAAATCCCCAAAACATTTTATTTTTCAGACCTGCATGTCTGTTTCCTCACCATATACCGCTGAATACGCTGTAAATCAGTAATTAAAATCGGAATTAACAATTTTATTGGTGTCAGCGGGGTTCGTATAGACTATCGTACACTAAACAGTTTCTTAGAAAAATGTTTGGGACACACAGAACCAAGGTTTCGTTCATTAAAAGTTCACAACATGCATAAAGATAAAATTCTCCGTTCTGCTAAAATCATGGACAACCAAATAAAAGGCATGGCAAACCAAATATTTGGCTATAAGTTAAAAGTTGTGATGATGTTGCTGAAATTTAAAGATGCAAAAAATAAACAGCTTACACGATCTGTATAGAACGCGCCTGAACGCTATTTACTTGCAACATAATGCGCATGTCCGTTTCTTACGTCAACCTTCTTCAACTCACAAATAAGAAGTCAGTTTATATAGGTTAAAGATCAATGTAGTCTTTTTGTTAGTGTCGTTTGTAGTTTTTTAAGAGATATCTGGTATCATTTATGTATTTTAAATGGCATTTTGCGTTTAAAACTTTCTTATGTACCTACTTTCTGGTCACTTCTTATGAAGTGATCAAAAAGTAGTAGATAGGTGAAATCTGTAGATATTTTTAATCCCAAGTTGTTAATAACATACTAAACTGAGGGGGAAAACTGGTTCTGTGTTCTGTGTTGTGTGGTTGCGGGTGACCAAAGAGTGTAAGAGTGTATAATTACCATACGCTATAAGCATGATAGTAACCATGGAGGTATGGAGTGTAGAAGTAAGGAGTACCAACTCCCATAGTAGAATAGTTGAAAAAGTGTCCACCTATAAGCAGTAAATAACAGTTCAAAAACTCTCCACAACAGCGCTGGAGTAACTACTGGGATGAAATGAACTTAGCAGTAGTCGTTTCTTGTCGTTGTTTGAAGTGTGCTGCTAAACTGCTCAGTACCTCTAAAATCTAAAATAATTTTATTTAGTAAATATAACCACGAAAAAGTCGTCTATCCCACTAATATTTTTCGGCACGTTCTTTAAAATTTAGCCCGTAGCTATAGTGACGCCACCCTTATTTAACGGTTTTCTATGGACACTTTTTAATACACAGTCTGTACTCTTTACTTCTACACTCCATACATGGAGGTTAGAGTGACAATTATATTATCTATGATAGTGACAGACTGGTGATGACAGATTTCAAAGTTAAAAACTCAAGTCGAAACTACAAAGTTATTGTTTGTATTACTTAAAAATTATCATGAAATATTTATTTTTTGGGTGTATACAAATTTACATGTATTGAACATGGCAGAATCTACCACGCCTTTTTATGTGGATCGGGCAAAAGGAGGTCGAGCTTCTTGCAAAGCCTGCAAGGGTAACTGCCCAAATGGTGAACTACGCTTAGCCAAATTAATTCCAAGCCCTTACGGAGAAAATCAATTTATGAAATCCTGGTATCATGTAGATTGCTTTATGAACATTTTACTGAAGCAACGTCCCACTACAAAACGGGTTGATTCTATTGACGATATTGGAAATTGGGAAAATTTAAGTAAAGACGATCAAGAATTTATATTAAAAAAAATTAATGAAACCGAAAAACTTTTTGCAGAGAAAAACAGTGGGAAGTATACAGCAAAAGTTGTCAAAAATGAGTCAAAGCCTCTTAATATTGATTCTCAAAATTTTGCTAGCAGCGATTTTGAAGATATAAATGACAATAAATTTTCAAGCTTTGTTCAGTTGTGTAATCAAATAGCAAAAGTGGATGCGTACACAGAAAAGACTGCTGTTGTTAATAAATTTTTTACACGAGGTTGTGAAGGTGATCATTTTAAGGGTGACCTTGCATTATGGTGTAAGTTGCTTCTACCTCAAGTGACAAAACGTGTATACAATTTAAAAAGTAAACAACTTATTAAATTATTTTCCCGAATATTTCAAATTGATCATGATGATATGCTTACACATTTGGAACAAGGGGATGTAGCTGATACAATTCAATTCTTTTTTTCAAAATCTAAAACTGTGCAACCAGCGAGTAAAAGTACACTTAAAATTCAAGAAGTGGAAGTTTTTCTAGAAGATCTCTCAAAACTGACTCGAGAGGAGGAGCAGATATATCATTTCAAAAAAATTGTAAAAAAGTGTAGTTTAGATGATTTGAAAATGTTAATCCGTTTAATTAAAGGTGATTTAAGAATAAATGCTGGACCAAAACATATTTTAGAAGGCGTTCACCCAGACGCTTACAATGTATTTCAAACATCAAGAGATTTGAATATGGTTTTGGACAGAGTTCTGTCACAGAGTAATAAAATAAAACATAAAGATTCCATCCAAAAATCCATGCAAGCAAAATTAGTTCTTATGACACCTGTATTGCCTATGTTAGCCGAAGCTTGCAAGTCAGTTGAGATGGCTATGAAAAAATGTCCTAATGGGATGTTTGCAGAAATAAAATATGATGGTGAGAGAGTGCAGGTTCATAAAAAGGGTGATGAGTTTAAATATTTTTCACGTGCCCTTAAACCAGTGATGGCTCATAAAGTAAATCACTTTAAAGATTACTTGCCACAAGCATTTCCAAAAGGAGTAGATTTAATACTGGATGCAGAGGTCCTTATGGTTGATGTAAATACTGGGAAACCCTTACCGTTTGGTACGTTAGGTATACATAAACAGTCTGCATTCAAAGATGCTGAGGTTTGTCTGTATGTGTTTGATTGCCTTTACTACAATGGTGAGATTTTGATTGATTATCCAATAAAGAAAAGAAGGCAGGTACTGCATGATAATATGGTTGAGGTCAAAAATCATGTTATGTTTTCTGAGCAGCAGTTGATAAAGAAATCAGCTGATTTAGCTAAAATGATTGCAATGGTAATTTTTCTAATTATGTTTAATATAATTTAGCTTAATATGAAGTAATGATGGCTCAGGGACTAAGTGTTAGCTGTAAATATTACAGTATGTAGTTTTTATTGTTTATTTTGTATGTGGTAGAGCCACGCTGCAGCAATATTATGGTTGTAGCACGAATGGGTCGGCTCAACCGGGAAAGGACCATGCTCTCACAGAATACTAGGGTAAAATAGCAGCTTAATACTGCTGTGTTTTGTATGGTGAGAGTAGAGATCCGGAGACAGTTTTTTTTTACTGGAAAAGAGGCATTTCATCAACCTTAGCAATGGGATAAGTTGTAACTTTGTGTTTAATACCTTAAATTTATATGAAATTACAATGTGAAGTACAATGTTAACGGCTCCGTGGTGCAGTAGCTTAGCAATGAGTTATAATGAGAATCCTGCATGTAACAAGTATTTGTATGACCTACAAGTAATTGTTTCGTGTCTAGATGTTTGTCCGTGCAATTTATGTATGTAAACTTCCTCCGTGATACAGAAAAGTGTTATTGGTTCAATATTTAATAGGGACTTATTACATAAAAGAATGTGCCATTTGTGTTATTTTCCTGGCATGCCGTAGAAGGTGACTAATGAGATATTGGTCAAATGATTGGGTAGAAGTTGGGCTAGGCACCTATCACTTCTTTCACTATTTTCCATCTAAAGTTAGCTCGCAGTTCCTTTCCCTACTAACTCACATGTTACAGGAATAATATTATGTGTGCAGGAATAATACTATTAAAGAATAAATGTGGCTTTAACACAGAATAACTGTTTTATTTGCTGTTGTATGTCTTTTTCACAATACATTTCTGGTTCTGTTTGATGTATTGATTGCTGTGCAGTTGATCTAGTTTTATGTAACACCTTACTTAGGTTTGTGTAACACCTAAACAATGCTCGTGTGCATAGGCCCTCAAGTGAAGTGTAATAAAAATTTTCAGAGAGAGATTCGTTCATCGTCATCGTTACAGCCCTTCACAACTGCTGAACATAGGCCTCCCCCAAGTTATGCCACAAAGCACGGTCCTGAGCCACCTGCATCCATCGACTTCCTGCATGTCTTACCAGGTCGTCACTCCATCTAGTGGGGGGTCGCCCTACACTACGCCTACCGGTACGAGGCTGCCACTCGAGAACCTTTCTTCCCCATCGGTTGTCGGTTCTTCGAGCTATATGGCTGGCCCATTGCCATTTCAGCTTACTAATCCGTTGGGCTATGTCGGTCACTCTGGTTTTACTGCGGATATCCTCATTTCTGAGTCTATCATGCAGAGAAACTCCGATCATAGCTCTCTCCATTGCTCGCTGAGCGACCTTGAGCGTCCTCATACGGCCGGCAGTGAAGGACCACGTCTCAGATCCGTAAGTCATGATGACTTACGGATCAGAGAGAGATTAGCACTATCATTTATTACCATACTAAAATAAAATTAAAAAGATGAATTAGATTGCCATGTGATCAAAAGAAAATCAATTTGCACACATCTTTACGTAACTGTCATAAGAGTTGACTGTAGAAAATAAAATAGGTGATGGAGCAGAATGGTGGTGATAATAACTTAAAGTATTAAAAAACTACAGTTGCCTGCCATGCGTGGCAGTTATGGCAGATATCCCACCTCTGTGGTAATCTATGTTCAGCAGTGAATTTTTAATAGGCTGTAAAAATGAAAACATAAATTTATGGTATTTCCTAAGTTAAAAAAGTTACTTTTAAAATTAGTCAGTAAACACTTGCCTTTGTAATGAATTTCTATGATAATTAAAGTAAATTTATTTTTGGAAAAAAAATATTGCAAATTAAATAATAAATTTGCTTTTTACATTTACAATTATTGTAGTTTATGTACATTTGGGACCAATTAATCAATCAGTCCAATAGAGTTAAATACTTAAAATAAGGATGGTTGATATTCTAATTAGTCATACAAACATATATCCATGATATAATAGTATTTTTTCATTAAATAAATTTTTAGGTTTTACAACTTGGTTTGGAAGGCCTCGTATTGAAGGATCTGGAGTCTACGTATGAACCAGGAAAAAGGCATTGGTTGAAAGTGAAAAAAGATTATTTATTTGATGGAGCTATGGCAGACACTGCAGATCTGGTTGTTCTTGGAGCTTGGTTTGGTAAGTTATATGAGGTTGTTATAACCTTTATAATCTTCACTATATATAAAAATCAATTGTCCATTAGTTTTGCCTAAACTCAAGAACGGATCGACTGATTTTGATGAAATTTTTTGTGTGTGTTTGAATGGGTCCCTAGATGGATTTGATTCACATTTAGACCCGGTTGTTGAGATCCAGAATTCATTCATGCAAAGTCGGGACGGATCACTAGTAGATATATTAAAAAGATAACATATTTAGTAGTAGGTACATATTTATACGTGGTAGAGCCATGCTGCAGTTATATTAGTAGTATAGTTGTAGCACAAATGGGTCGGCTCGACCGGGGAAGGACCATGCTCTCACAGAATACCAGCTTAAAATAGTAGCTTAATGCTGCTGTATTTTGTATGGTAAGTGTAGAGAACCGGAGACCCTTTTTACTGGAAATGAGGCATTCCATCTTAGCCCTCACAGGTGATAACACATCTGCAAAAAAAAATATGGGCTGCAGCAACCACTTACCATCAGATGGACTGTGTGCTCGTTTGTCACTCTATCCCATAAAAAAAATATGTGTTGATACCCCTGCTTACATAGCTGATGGTTTCCAGACACAGATAATAAGATTGACAAAGCACATAGAAATAATAAATGATCTCATCTAATACAATTCCAAATAGCAAAATAACTGGATCTATCACCAACAATACTATT